CGAACTAGTTGAGGGAGTGTAGTTCGCCTGCTGGCGATCTAAGCCGAGCTGGCTTAGATCGCCAGCAGGCGAACTAGTCGGGCTTGTCTAGTTCGCCTGCTGGCGATCTAAGCCGAGCTGGCTTAGATCGCCAGCAGGCGAACTAGTCGGGAACCTTCTAGTTCGCCTGCTGGCGATCTAAGCCAGCTCGGCTTAGTTCTCCAGCAGGCGAACTAGTCGTGACTAGTTCGCGTTCTGCGGCGGTTTCGGTTTTTCGCGGTTTTGCAAAACGAGTTCTCGAGTTTTATAAAACGATCTTTCGAATTTTATAAAACGATCTTCGAGATTTTATAAAATGATCCCTTGAGTTTTATAAAACGATCTTCGAGTTTTATGAAACGATCTTCGAGTTTTTATAAAACGATCTCTCGAGTTTTATAAAATGATCTCTCGAGTTTTATAAAACGTTCTCTCGAGTTTTATAAAACGATCTCTCGAGTTTTATAAAACGATCTTCGAGTTTTTATAAAACGATCTCTCGAGTTTTATAAAACGATCTCTCGAGTTTTATAAAACGATCTCTCGAGTTTTATAAAACGATCTCTCAAGTTTTATAAAACGATCTCTCGAGTTTTATAAAACGATCTCTCGAGTTTTATAAAACGATCTTCGAGTTCTTATAAAACGATCTCTCGAGTTTTATAAAACGATCTTCGAGTTCTTATAAAATGATCTCTCGAGTTTTATAAAACGATCTTCGAGTTCTTATAAAACGATCTCTAGGGTTTTATAAAACGATCTTCGAGATTCATAAAACTGCCGCGTTTACGCGTTTGCGGGGAATTTTGGCTATTGATTCCGTTGTACCGATTTTGACCCCAACAGTTAGCCCCCCAGCTCGTGAGAATCGTGTGATTCTTGCGAGCGAGTCAAGCTTGTTTGGCGAGTTTGGTAGAGTTAGGCGGAACTTTAATAGCCAAAAGTCCAAGGGTGAATAGTAAATTTTCTCCTTATAAGTGCATGGAGTAAAATTTTGAATTCTTCACTTCATGTTCTTTAACTTTCTCAAGAAGTTTTTCTCTCTTCTCCCTTTGAGTCTATCCTTCTCAAAATTTTCAAGCATGTTTTCAAGGAGAAGAACTCGTTCCTCAACCAGTTCCGTTTCTCGCGATTCCGAAGGGACGAGCTCGCAGCCCCCAATTTCGGTTCCGAAAGAGGAATTCTCATTCCCGTCAGTCGACCCGATGGATCGTGCGGCTTTTTGGGAGTTGGGAGATGAATCGAGAGCTGCTAGGCCTNCAAGGAGAAGAACTCGTTCCTCAACCAGTTCCGTTTCTCGCGATTCCGAAGGGACGAGCT